GGACAGCAGTAACACAGCCACACAGCCACCAGGGAGAACAGCAGTGTAACACAGACACACAGTGACCAGGGAGGACAGCAGTAACACAGCCACACTGCCACCAGGGAGAACAGCAGTGTATCACGACAAACAGTCACCAGGGAGGACAGCAGTAATACAGCCACATAGTCACCAGGGAGGACAGTACTGTATCATGACAAACAGTCATCAGTGAGAACAGCAGTGTAACACAGCCACACAGCCACCAGGGAGGACAGCAGTGTAACACAGACACACAGTCACCAGGGAGGACAGCAGCCCCAGCCGCAGCCCCAGCCCAGAACTGCAAAAAAAAAAAAAAAAAAAAAGCACACACAGGCACAGCCCACAGTCCCTCCTGCGCCCCTGGCTTAGTCGCTCTCACCTGAGCCCGGAGTGATCAGAGGCCCCTCCAGCTCCAGAGCCTCATCTTCAGACTGGTCATCCAGCTTCTTCTTTTTTTTCTTTGTTGGATCTCTGGGCTTTTTTAAAAGTGAAAGTTCTTCAGGGTGTCTGATATCTATTAAGAAAATAGATTATCATTTTACTGTAACAAAAGAAAATTTAACAGTTCACACTAAGTAATTTTGTTAATTACTTCAAGGTAAGAGTCTATAATTTGCTTCTGCACATGTGAGTTTTACCAGATACTAGTGCCACACTAAAGACTGACGTATGACACTGGGGAAAGAATCTACCCAAAGCACTGTTAACTATTACACTTAATAGAAGTGATGATCTCAAAGTGGAGAGAGAATGATCTCCTGTGGTACATAAAGAAAATGTCAGAAAATGTTAAAACTCATATTTATTTTTTACCCAAAACTGGAAGAAAAATATTAAGCTTTCTAGTACTATAGCTTATTCCTTATTCTCTGTTATAAGGTGCACATGATTTTGTGGCATAAAGGTCAGGATACTTTCACATCATTACCAAATCTCAATTTTACTCAATTCAGACTTTTCTGCCCAGGGTTCAGGTGGGAAGATGGCCTGGAGGTGAGGCTGGAGTGAGCTGTGATTGTGCTACTGCTCTCCAGTCTGGGTGACAGAACAAGACCCCATCTCTAAAAACAAAACAGAAACAAATTTCTCTGCCTTGTATGAAAGTGTCTGTATCTATTTATTTTCATTTGAGTAACAAGAAGCAAATAGTTAAATGAAAATAACAAAAGAAATTAAAGATGACCAAAATAGATATATTCTACATTTTAAATATAATATACCATGTTCACAAACTGTAACACTCAATATTATTAAGTAGTCAATTCTCCCCAAATTGAACTGAAGATTTAATGGAATCCCCAAAATTCCAGCTTGATTTTCTATAGAATTTGATGAGCAGACTGTAAGATTTGTATGGAAATGACATCAATCCTAGAAAAGTCAAAAGAAAGTTTTAAAAAGAACAAATGTGGAGAACTCACACTAACTGGTACAGTGACTGGCCAAATGATGAAATAGACAGATGAATGAAATAGAGGAGGCGGCCCCAAACAGACCTAGACACAGGTGGTCAATAATTCTTTCATGTCTTTTCAACAGTGTTGAACACTGAGAGATTCATACTTAAAAAAAATTAACCTTTATATAATTCAATATGCAAAAATTCTCAATTGATCACAGATCTAAATAATAAAATAATAAAACCAGAAGAAAACATTAAGATTTCTTAAGACATACACAAAAAGGGAACCACAAAAAATTGCCTTTTATTTAAAAGAAAAATAAAACCAATTTGCCCTCTGAAAGATAGTGTTGGGAAAGAAGAAGCAAGCATGTACTGGGACAAAATATTTGCAACCCATAGATATATATCTGACCAAAGACTTGCACTCAGAATGTACAAAAAGTCACACAACTCAGGAAGAAGACCACGGGCTGAAGATGCAGACGAGCACTTCCAAGGAAAACGGCCCAGCAGCATCTGAGAAGATGCCTGACGTTCCTGTCATCAGGGAAACACAAATCAAAGCCCCAGCCAGACAGCATACACCCGTCAGGGAGGTCAGCGTGACAGAGACCCAGCGTCAGTGCTTATGTGGAAGAGGAAATGGGCTCTCACACCCAGCTGGTGAAAGGTAAAATTAGAGTTTTCTGAGAACAGCTTGGCACCATCTCATCAAGTTAAAATACACAACTAGCACACAACTCTTAATATTTTACTCTCAGTACTTACCCCAGACAATGAAAATCAATTTATTCATAACTGCTTTAATAATAAATGCCCAAACTGGAAACATCCCAAATGGACAAACAAAACTGTGACATTTGCATATCCACGGACTGCTACTCAGACACGTACAAAGGAACACGACATTCGTAAAAATAAAAATATGGACATACGCAAAAAAAAAAAAAAAAATCAATGAATCTCAAGTTATCATATTATGTGGAAGAATTAGTAAAGAGTATATTTTATATGATTCCAATCATAAAATTCGAGAAAATGCCAATCAATCTATAGTCACAGAGAACAGATCGATAGCTGTCAGCAGCTGAAGTCTGAGAGGTGATGCAAATGTTCTTTACCTTGGTTACGGTTTCACAAACTGTACCCTTGAAAAAATGAGTAGTTTATTGTGTAGTAATTACATCATGGTAAAGTTAATTAAAAATAATGTGAAAAGATGGAGAGCCCAAAATTAATAAAAAGAAAATAAAAGGAGCAGAAAGGAGAAGCTCTAGGTACATAGTCATGTGTTGCTGATCGCTGGGACGTGACCTGAGACCTGCTGAGGCGACTCCGACCCTGGCCAGCATCACAGACGCTACAGCTGCTGCACACGCGGGCCGTGCGTGTAGCTTACAGCTCCCACGCTACAACCTGTACAGCATGTCCGTATACTGCAGGCAACTGCAACACAATGCTAAGTATCTGTGTGTCCAGGTATACTTAAGAAAAAGTATAGTAAAAATACCATATAAAAGATAACAACTGGCACACCTGGACAGGGCACTTACCATGAATGGAAATTGCTCTGGTGAGTCAGTGAGTGATGAGAGAATTGAAGGCCTAGGATTCTCCTGTACCCTACACACTGCTGTAACTTAGGCTATGCTAAATTTATTTTCTTTAAAATTGTGCTACGATGTTAGTATGGTTATGATATCACTGGGCAACAGGATTTTTTCAGCTCTGTTATAACCCTATAGAGTCACCATCACATTATAGGGTCTCTCGTTTTGGTCCCTCGTTGACCAAAACATCATTATGCAACATGTGACTTTACACCATGGGTGGCGGCACTCCACCAGAAGCCAGGGCTGAGGAGAACAGCCAGCACCACAAATCATTGCAGAACCTGCAATGCTTCAGCTCAGGAAACTCTCAGATCCAGGTTTTCCATGTTGCAATTTATAGCTACGTAGAGCCTGTATATAAATTCAGGAAGCTTTATGTTTGCAGGAGACCTAAAGCTAGGATCTACCATACTGCTGAGCTGATGCAGCTCAGTCTGGGTAAGCTATGCACCCTGCCACTGCGCGGCTCAGTCTGGGTAAGCTATGCACCCTG